CGCCTTCTGCAGCACAAGCAGGCAAGCCGATAGTCTGGCGACCTTAGCAGTATTTATGAGGTTGAGAAAACATCGTTAAAAACAAAATACCATAAAAACAGAAAATGGAAAGCACTAGTGACCTCAGAGCGAACTTGCTGGCAGAATACGCTGTATATCCCCAGATCGCAAATTGACCAGCTGCAGACGAAACAAAAGAAATGTGACCTCCTCCCCTGGATTTCATGCGAGGAACAACGTATCTTGTAGGATATACCTAAAAGAATTTCCATGAAAATTTTTTTTCCATAAAATGAAGGTGAAACTTGTTTTCGACTCATTCCCAGAAAGGCTACTTTTCAGCGCGAATTATAAAATGAGAAGTAAGCGTGAAACATCGACAACTCACATGACTGTAAAAATTGAGAGCCATTTGCTCTTCGCATGCAGACATTGGAAGATCATCAAAAGCACCCTAAAATAAAGCTTCGAAATAAAGCCACAAAATAAGGCATTAGGACCTGTAGAACAGTGCCGACGTTATTGATAAGAACATTGATTGGTCCAAGTTCATGCTCTATTCGATCAAATACAGCTTCGATCTGTGTTAGACGACTGTTGAAAATTTGGTATAGGCACAAAGCTCGTTTACCTCGTCATATTTTTTGCTGAGATCAACCGAATACCAACGAACTTGCTGATGTTGACCACGACTATTTGCAGCATCCTGGAGATCCTGACAAGCACTCTAAATTGGACATTCAAGAAATAAATTGCAAGAACAGTCCATTGTCGTTTGCAAAATGTATGCTCAGAATACTCAGAGTCTGACAAAAATACAGGGAAAAAATTCGTAGCAAGTCCATATGAGAAAAAAAATCAAACCCACTTTGAGGTCTGCTTCATTTCTTGCAATAATTGAGACGTTGCAACCTTTTTCTATGAGATAAAATGCAAGCTCTTTACCAATCCCTTTCGATCCTCCTGGAATGCAAAACTCAATCATGCACAAGACATTCACAGAACAATTCGCACCTGTGACAACAGCATGTTTCGCCTTTAGACTGAATTTTCGGCGCTTGGGTAGAACAAAATATAATAATGTGTGAACAGACAACAGTAATATGATCAAGAAAAGCAGAGGTAGTAGGAATAGCACCATTCCGGGTAGGTGATCTCTTTTAGAAGACGGGTGTCAGTATAAAGTCTTCACCGGCTTCGAATTCCGTGAGCTGGAACGTGATGTATACACTGAGACACACTTAGGCACCAGCCAGACTTCGCCCAAAAGCTTCAAAAGCGCCCAAAAAACTCAAAAAAAAAGCTCAGATCCCTCTAATCTCTCTTCACTTTCTCGTGTGAGCAGATATGAGGAGAGGTTAGAGAAATTCGGGCGCTTTTGGACGAAGTTTAGCCCTTGCCTTGAACCAATAAAAACTTCTAGTTATTGAAAATTTGAGTGCGGCTACGATAATTCGGGCAACATTAACAGGTAAGGGAAACATAAGCTAGATGTCAGTAAGTCAGCAAGTGCTTACGACTGATACAGGTTCACGATAACCGGCTTTTGCCATTGGCATTAGCCCACTTCCGACCAGTTCGGTCGAGTGGGCTGATGCCACGACAAAAAACAAGCATTGCCAACGACTTTCAGTTTGCGAGGAACTACTTCTTCAGAACTACCGAGTTTCTCTGTAATAATTTATGCCCTACCACACATATCTTCGACGAAGACGACAAGTATAGCAAGTGAGTATGAGCACTGCATTCAGCGGGAAAAGCGATATGATGAGCAGAAGCATAAACAGAGAGTTTGACCCCGGAAAAGGCAGCCCTAGTCTATTAACTCATGGTAATTGGGGAAGTACGGACAATGATTACTACCCTAGAAGCTTTTTTCCTCAGAACCGGTCTTAATTTTCATTTCATAAAATAAAGTCTCCGTGGAACTGCTCACATATAGAAGGAGACGAGAATATTTACAGGCAATGTACATGATGGGTAAATCATGCATTGTAAAGTAATATAAATAATTTCCGTGCAAAAAAAACGTACCGAAAAGAAGTGAGCTGCGATCGTTCTTCCTTGATACTGGCCACTGATTGTCAACGCAGCCCAGACGAGCTGTGCATCTTCACCGCTGATAATGATGTTCCCTTTGTGAGTTACCTCGTCATAGCCCCCAATCTGAATACAGCCACTTTTTTTTT